CCTAGACAAAGAATTTGTGTTTAAGACCACAAAAGCAAAAACAGCAATAACAAAAATAAATAAATTAGACTTACTTAAACTAAAAAGCTTCTGCATAGCCAAAGAACTAATCCACAGAGAAAACAGACCTATAGAATGTGAAAAAATATTCATAAACTATATATCTGATAAAGTAATAATATCCTGAATCTATAAGGAACTCAAACAAATCAGCAAGAAAACAAATAACTCCATTAGTAAGTGGGCAAAAGACATGAACAGAAGTTTTTTCAAAAAAAGATAGTCAAAAAAAAAAAAAAGAAAAGAAAAGAATTAAAAAATTTCTCAACACTGATCATCAGAAAAATGCAAGTTAAAACCACAATGAAACACTGCTTTACCCTTATCAGAAGGCTATTGTTAAGAATAGTAAAGTATCTCACAAATGGAAGAAAAAGTATCCAATGTATTCAGCCCTACTATGAAACTAATTTATAGCTTTCATAGGAAAGCTATAACCCAATTTTAGCCCAGGGATATGGGGAGAGGGGGAGAGGGAGCGGAGGGAAAGGGAAGGTGGAGGGTAGATAGAGGGAAGGTGATTGGTGGGATCACACCTATGATTCATCCTATAAGGGTACATGTGAATCTTTCTAAATGTAAAATATACATGTCTTAACACAATAACTAAGAAAAAGACCTGAAGGCTATGTTAACCAGTTGGATGAAAGTATTTCAAATTGTATATAAAAACAGTACACATTAATACTTCAAGATTTATAAAAACAAAGGCAATTCACATTATTTGTAAATCCCTATCATTGACTTTTCAGCAGACCTGTATACAAAAGGGTAGTATTTGTAGTTTAGGAGCAGTAGCTCACACTTATAATCCTAGCACTCTAGGAGGACAAGGCAGGAGGATCCCTTGAGCTCAAGAGTTCAAGACCAGCCTGAGCAAGAATGAGAACCCCCTCATCTCTACTAAAAATAGAAAAAAACTAGCCGGGCATTGTGTTGGGGACCTGTAGTCCCAGCTATGCAGTAGGCTGAGGCAAGAGGATCGCTTGAGCTCAAGCATTTGAGGTTGCTGTGAGCTATGGTGCCATGGCACTCTACCCAGGGTGACAGAGTGAGACTGTGTCTCAAAAAGTAATAAAATAAAATAAAATAAAGGTAATATTTCTTGTTTGTTTAACAGTTGCAGTGGTTTCCAATGTACATATTTTTATTCAAATTAAAATCTCTATAGTAAGAGTAATTTAGTTCATTCCTATAAAATATTTTCTTAAAACAGACATAGAATAATTATCATTATTTATAAATGCTGCTTCATATAAAAGGAACTCCAAAAATTATAATCTTTCTTAAAATTGAAAGTAGAAAGCACTTAAAAATTCATGAATATAAAGTAAAATATGCCTCAATAAAAATAAGTGTGCATAGCCAACTTGTATTTTAGAACAGAATTTAGAGCATTATGTTTACATCTCAATAAGCCCCCAAAACAGAAAACACTAATTAGAGAAAATGCCCCTTAAAGTAATGATGAATACAGTATATTTCTTCAATTAATCAGCAATAACTACTGAGTATTGATAGCATGTTTAGTACTATGTTTCTAGTTGGCTATTGACCTATGCTAGAAAATCCAACAGACCTGTGGTTGTCATGGTGATAGATGAAATGGAAAAAAAAACAATTCATATGGCCCAAGATATGGTATACAGTTACATTAAGAGTTATTATATTGAGTATCGATTCTCAGTAGGATCACTGTGGCCTTTTTGGGAGGGGGTACTCATTACAGTGTGAGGTTTTTAACTTTGTATACAATGTTACAATGTATACAGTATTAAACAACCCTACCCTTGTAGAATTTCACAGTGATTGGGGTATCAATTGGGGTATCTCATATGGCCCCTGAAAATTCTATGGGAGCCAGTCACATATAGAGGAGCTGGCAGGTTCCAACCCAGCCAAACAACAATGAGAACTACAACCAAAAAAACAGCCAGGCATTGTGGTGAGCATCTGTTGTCCCAGCTATTTGAGAGGCTGAGGCAAGAGAATAGTTTAACCCAAGAGTTGGAGGTTGCTGTGAGCTGGAAAACAAAACAATCCAACAAGGGGGAAAAAAGGAAAACTTGGCAAAAAAAAAAAAAATTCTATGTAGGTGATATAGCATCCTGCTGAAATCCACTGGTAAAGAATAGGGGATAAAACTTTATTTATGAAAATGGGTATGGGCAAATTTAACCTGTGGGGTATAGTTTGCCAATTATAAGTCCACCAATTTGAACACAAGGAAAGAGCAATCAGTGGTATTATATTAGGAAAGTTTTTAGCCACAAATAATACATAATCATATCTAGTGTTTTTAGAGAGAGGGTGGTTCCAGTCTTGGCTAATAGAAAGTATTATTATTGTAGAGACCGCAGTGCTTTCCATTCTTTTGTTATTCTCAGTCATTGGCAGTATCTTCCCTCATTGTCACATATGTATTCAAGGGTGTCACACTTAGTTACAACAATGCACAGGGAGAAGGACATATCTTTTCCCAAAAGTCCCCAGCTGACTTGCTATCAGATCTCATTTGGCTATATTCCCTAAATTGAACTAAGAATTAGAAAAAGGAAAAGACTACACATATTTGACATAGAATAATTATGTTTTTTTGTCCTTGGGCTAAAGAGAAATCCAGCCTTAGCCCATACCTGTAAATGCCCAGTATTTGAATATATTACGTTGTTTTTATAAGGAAGAGCAGGGTCTATAAGAGGAGAGTGGAAGGAGATGTTTCTGAGATGCATTCTCCATACTAATTATATTACACTTCCAATATTATAATTCTGTCTTAGATCCTATTTGAGTCCATTTGTTTCCCTCCATTTCCTAATTAGTAAAAGGGAGCATTTTATTCATGCTTATCTTTGGTCAGAGAAGAGGGAGGATCATGGGCCAATTTTTCTAACTATTGATTACAGGTAGGAGCTTTTATGGTCTCTCACTGTGAGGTCAGGAATACCAGTATCTGAGAGACAGTACTGGCACTTGGTTAACAAACATCATGTAGCAGTTAAAGAATCTCTTAAATAAGATGCAGATAATTATACAGAGTAATACATCTGGTTTGTGTTATGAGAATTGAAAGTGATGTGTTGAAAAACAGTTTCACTGAAATGGTATAATTATTTATTTTATTTCCAAAGGGAATAGAGAAGAGAGCCACTTGGCTCTTTTAGGCTCATTAAGTTGCTGTCCTGCAATTTTACATGAAGCTGGTAATTTGTCAAGAGAATCATTTGGGAGTCTGGGAGGTAAAGATATAACTAGAAACTGGTTTCCCCACTTTGTGTACTGTGTTCCCTGAATTAAATCCTGGCATTCCCACAGGAAAATGCCTCTTCAGAAGACCTCATGCTTTTCCATAGGGATGGCTTTAACTCACAATCTATTTTTTTTTTCTCCTGAAGCTCTTTCTGAATTCTGAGCTTTTAAAATTGTCAGTATTGGGTTGAACGAATACATTTAGATGCACCTCTGTTTACTAGAGTTTTCGAAGAATGACACTGCAGTATTTTGTGGGTAAGTTTTTTCAGGAGGCCTTGTTTGATATCACCCTCTTTATCAGTTCAGTTTGGAAATGCCTGCCTTTTTAATGCCAATTATGTATTTATTCAAAAAATATTAATATTAAGTTCACAGTCCCCTACTCAAGGATTTTGACATTCTAGTATGAAAGAGTCAATGGAATGAACAATTAAAATGGAGTGTGATGTCACGGCGACTGAGGGAGAAAGCACACTGTGAGAACAAGTTGAATCTCAACAGATATCCTGGAATAAGTCAAGAAAACAGGGACAGAGCTTGCTAATAGAAGGAGTGACATAAGAAAAGGCTTGGAGGCTTGAGAGGATATGGGATGTTTGGAGGACAGCTAGCTTATCTCTAAGTCTGGAGTTCACAAAGACCTAAGATACACAATGCTGAGCAGTGAGACTACACTAGGGGACCTTTACCAGAATTCAGAATTTTATCCATAGGCAATGGGAGTTATCAGAGGCTATTCAACAGGACAGAGACAGGATGTAACTTATATTTTTGGGAAACTACTGTGACTGCAGAATAGAAAAAGGATGAGAGGGGATAAGACTGAAGATGTTATGACCAGTCAAGAGGTTGTTTCAGTAGTCTAAGAAAGAAATGATGAGAGCCTTGACTGAGACAGTGGAGATAGCGCAAAATGAAGAAATCCTTGTGAAACAGGCGAAGATAGAGCTTATTAGACTCAATGAGATTTTTATTGTAGGAAGCAGAAGGAAGGAAAGGAATTAAAAAATGACTTGCATTTCTGATAAGGCTTGGTAAAGGCTAGTTCTGTTCATTGATGTATGACTATAGGAATTGGACCAATACTTAGGAAAGACGAGTTCCCTTTGTAGTATGCTTATTTTGAAGTTCTTGAAAGCCGAGTAAATATAGCAGGCTGGGACCCAGTCATAGCCTTTGAGTTAGAGAAATATGTTTGGGAGTATTCACCAGAAAGCAAGCCACTGACATGAATGAGATGTCCCAGAGACTTGGTCCAGGGCAGAAGAGATGAGAGATAGTGAAGAAGTTCAGGGTATGAGCATCCATGAAGGGTATGAGTAAAGAAGATGAGACTACGAAGCCAACCCAAAATAAGATGCTGAGAGGCTAGAAGACCAGAGAGTGTGGTATCCTTGAGAACAAGGGAAAAAATACAGTCAATTACTGCTATCAGGTCAAATTAGATCCACAAGAGAGAATGCTGGATATCGCGAGATGATGTCTTTATCGACAGAAAACGTGTGATCATTATGTAAGATGAGTGTATGTAAAAACATATAAAAACTTATGTATAATTTAAGAATCCCATCACCCAGCATAGCTACTGTTAAAATTCTGATGTATATCTTTACAGACTTTTTCTATATGCAAATATATTCTCTATATCTAGAGATATATCTATATATAACACAATGAGTTCATACTATAAAAATATTGGATGCTGCATGAATTTGCTTGTCATTCTTTTCAGAGACCATGATAATCTTCTCCACATCTTTCCAATTTTAGTACGTAAGCTGGTGAATCACGTGGTGTCTGTTGAATTAAGCAAAAGGGGATCCTTTGTGACTGTGCAAGGCTCATTGCAGTGGAGTGGTGAGGGCAGAAGCCAGATTGTTGTGAGATGGCAAAGGCAGGGGTGGTGAGGAAATGAAACAGGCAGCATTATGGACTCCCCTTTCCAGAAGCGAGGCTGTGCAGGACACCCTTGTACATAGAATGTCAAGTGAGGAGTAGCAGGATGGTGAGGGCTTTTTTTTTTTTTTTTTAATTAGTTGGACATGACTTTCCCATGACTGACAAGAGACAGAATGGGAGAAAATTGAAAGAACATAAGTTATAACTGAAGAAGTGAAGTCTTAGGAAGCAGGGAGCAGGAAGGGATGAAATGTAGGCAAGGAGAAAAGAGACTCCCCTTTTCAAGGCTATGGTGAAGGAGTTAGGGTAGAAATAGATGCTGAGAAATCTGTGTATGTGTTACTGGAGGGCATTCTGGTCACCTCAGAGTGAAGATGGCTGACATCCACATGTACTTAGTTATTTGATGAGGGATTTTGAACTTGCATGAAAGAAAGAACTGGCAGATTGGATCAGATCCATTATCCGTTCACTTGTATCCTCAGAGTGATTTCCAGAGAGGCATATCAGAAAGTTCTATTCTTCTCTGATAAACTGACAGGTCAAAAATGGGCCCTCACACATTATTCACATTAAATAATATGTTAGGAATTTATTATCCACATATTTTTGTGGAAGCTTCTTAAAGGGAAGCCTCTTTGCCCCCTGATATTTACTATCTGGGAAGTTTTGAACATATAATATATATGAGAAAGTTGCATTATATATTGGAAAAAGCATAGGTTTGGAACAAATTTTGGTTAACCTGGGGAGACCAACTTAGCTTTAGTTCCCTTATCTGTGAAATTGGGGTACTATCATATTAACCTCACAGCAAAGTAAAGTTAGCATAAGGTTGTACACGCCGAGGGCCTGCGAGAGCTGTGCAGACTGAGCACCCACTGAGGGCGAGTCCCCTCCTGCTTTGCTGTCTTGTATACGTGTGGTCACTCCCAGCAATCGAGGGCTTCCATTCCCTCTAGCACACTAGGATTTGATGATCCGAACATGAAGTTCTTAATAATGATAATAAGCTTTGGCTAATGACCAGGAATGTTCAATGCAATCTCTGTACTGAAATGTAAATACTATGAACTAAATGGAAAAGATTATGCCACCCTGAAATGCACAGCCTTAACACAGCTTCATTTGCATTTCCTAAATGTCATGGTGCATTCTGTTTTTATATTTACAAAGCATATCACCTGATGTGTTGTATTTTTTTTTTTTTTTGGCTCATCAACACTCCATTAAATGCTTTAGATAACCAGAAGGAAACCTGGGTTATTATTTCTCTTTTTTACATATGACTTTCTATATCAACAATCTTAATAAGATGATTTACCAAGGGATGTATATGCTTAACACAACTTGTGTCTAGAAATATTAATTCTCACTTTAAAAGATTTCTAAGCAAATATACTTGCTATAATGTGTTATGACCTTTGTACTCTCATAATTCAATTGACAGGAGCAAGGCTAACACAATGTAGGCGAATTATTCCTCACTTGCTGTAGCTGCCACTGTATGCAAAGCAGTACCTGTTTACCTTAGACCAAGTGAATAAGCCAATTTGAGCCAAGAGAAACTGCATGAAGCAGGAGTAGGGGACTGAAACCATTTCCCTTTGAGTTTCTGTGATGTAGTTCCTTTTAAACTCACCAGCACATGTGTGGATTTAACTTTGACTTTTGGAATAACATCTAATCCACTAGAGCTTGCTTTAAAAATACAACTTCTTAGGTACTAATTAAGTACTCATATAATCACGGAACTGTTTAAAATAGCTCCTACCTAAATATCTGCCTATCTTTCTTTATTACCTTGTCTCCTTAATTTTCCATCTTGGAGTAACTTTAATGTCTTTTCATAGTTTTGTTTCTTTGTTTCCAGCATTTTTTTTTTTTCTGGCAGCAGTTCAAAAGGACATTGATTATTTCCCCATTACTCTGTTGCACAAACTACTCAATATGGATCCATCAAGATATTTAAAATTTGGAGCTGCCATTGGTTACCTTTCTACTGCCTGATGTAAATGCCTAGTTGAAATGGAACCATATAATGGCCCCAGAGATGCCCATCCCCAGCTGAGTTCACTCTCTGAGGGCTCCTTTCTTGGCAAATGGCTCTTGCTTTTACAGTCTGATGAGCCAGAACCAGTCCCATGTCACCAATAAACATGAAGCAAGTCTGATTTACCTTGAGGTTTCTGACAGCACCCAGCTGGGCCTTACATACACTGGGTAGCTATTATATATATATTGAATGAATTATGGATGGGCTACTGAATGAAGGTAGAGACAGAAAAGTTTATATTTAATTAGCATGTTATGGGATTAGCCTTCTCTGGTAGAATATTGAAGGCATTCTGAGGGAGAGAAACTACTTTTTTGTTTTGTTATTCATGTAAGTGTCATCTAAAATGGTGCATTGAGTAAAAATTCCCCTTCATAAGAACATTGGTACTGTACTTTACTGTAGTTATATAAATGTATATTTGTATTATATATGTATGTATCTACACATATGTATGTACAGTGAGTCTTGAACCTGGCAAAGATTCAAGTCCATGAATACTCAGACATTTTGAATAAATGCTCAGCACTATGCTAATCATTGTGAAAGGGGTCAGAGTCTCTGTCCTGAATGTATTAGAAAGGATAAAATTTACATGAATCAAATAAGGACCACTGTAGGAAAACCTGCATTCAAATTAAATACTATGTGATAGTCATTCTGAGTGCTGGTGGAACTCAGAAAAAGGAAAAGTTACTGGGGCTTCTGTCAAGAGGAAAAAAAGAGGGTGGAACTTGAGAGAACTTGAAAACAAAAGGCAATTTGAGTCGAAGAGGAGAAGGAAGACTTCTAAGAAGTATTGCAGGCCAACTTGTAGGGCTTGAAAAATCCTTTCCATGGAGTTACTTACATGGAACTCATATCAAAGTAAATCTCAGTAGTCTGCAGAAGGATAAACCAAAGTTACTTTTTCCTAAACAAATATAAAACCTAGTTTAATATATAATTAATAAAAACTAGTGATCCAGTTCTAATAAGTACTGAAACTATACAGTTCTAAAATAAATAAATAAAAGAAAACCTTGAATATAAATTGTTATTTATATAATACAAACATATCATTTATTTTCAGTCTCTGGGGAGTATGAACAAAGAATATGACTAAAATATGTCTGAAAGATATTTTAGCCAGGTGTGGTGGCTAACGCCTATAATCCCAGCACTGTGGAAGGCTGAGGTGGGAGGATTGCTTGAGCTCAGGAGTTTGAGGCTTGTCTGAGCGGGAGTGAGACCCCAACTCATGAAAAAAAATTGAAAAAAACCCAGTCAGGCACCACAGCAAGCATCTGTAGTCCCAGTGGCTTTGGAAGCTGAGGCAACAGAATGCCCACAGCCTGAGTTTGAGGTTGCAGTGAGCTATGATACTACTGCACTCTGCTCAGGGCATAGGATAGAACTCTTGTCTCGAGAGAAAAAAACAAAAAAACAATTTTTATAAAGAATTACTCTCAAGGAAATAGACTCACAATAGATAGATATTATGAATCATATTTCATGTATACATCATAATCACACATTTATGAAGGACCTAAATCCCTATTGTATTCTACAGGTAATGGAAAAGAAATAAGAAATTTAATTTGTGTACCAATCAGTTTATAATCTAATGGATTATGTCAAACAAATGTCAATTTCTTAATGAACCAGTTAAGAAAAATGTTAAGAACTTCTGTTTCTGACTGTACACACAGTCTGATGTAGGTGTTATGGGGAAGGTGTAGTGGGAGGATGTCAGGTTTGGATGTTGGAGTATGAATGGAAGGTGTTCCAGCTGGGAACTCTGGGAAGAGGCATGAACCATGTGTTACCATGTGCTTCAAACTTGATTGAAGCAGAAGATTTATGTTAAAGAAATAAAGTGCAGTGTATGAAGGTCGTAAAGTAGAATATTCACCTGGTTACAAAGAGCACTTACTAGGAAAGAGAATTATGTAGTGATTTTCATTCCTTAGAAAAGTAATGTTTAGGACACTGATTTACAACTGGTGTGCTGTGAGTAGATCTTAGGTGTGCCACAAAATTTTAAAGATCATTAATTAAATTATTTTCAAAAGCAGTTCAAAGCACAGTAAGTATATTGTTTTATTTACTCTGTTTTTTTAATCAACATAATTTAAGTGTGCCATGGAAGTTTAACTATAGGTTCAAGCGTGCAGTGAGATAAAAAAAAGATTGAAAAACACTGTCTTGGGATAATTAGTTTAGGTTGAATTATACAGTGAGACTAAAGATAAGGAGAGCAGTTTGGTAGCTATTTTGCTATTACATAAATATAAAATGTTGATATACTGGTAAATATTTGAGTTAAATAATCATTGCATATGGAATTCTAACTTACAAGAGGTTAGAAGGCTAGAAAGGATAAAATTAATTGCCAAAGAAGCTGTATTTCTATTAAATAATGTGAAAATGATTTTGAATTACAAATATTATTCCTCAAAATATGTCACCTGGAATATTAAAAGTTACGATTTTTGGTTGTTGGAATCTGTTTCCCAATCTGAATTGTGGTGTTGCTGAAGGATAATAAACAACTAGGACACTGCTGACCTTTGGTCAAATATATTTCATTTAGAAAAAGAGAATTTTCATTGGAACATTGGAAAACTAGCACGGCATACAGAATGAGAGCTATCTACCTGGAAATCACATATGTTCATCCCCAAATTGAAAACAAGCCATAATTTAGGACTAGACTGAGTCTGTTTATGCTTCCAAAATGAATTTAAATGATGAGACCATGAATGTAGTGAAAAGCACGGAAATGAATTTGACAGATACTGCTTTCATTTTCAGTTTCAAATTACTGACTTGCTATTAGCATACTCCAGGAGTAG